TAGGTAAGAAGATGAAATTAGGTTTTCTGATTTGTGTTTTAATAGAGTTGGGTGAATGAGTTATTTGTTGCATCTTGGGAAAAACGATTTATTTGGTTGTATAGATTTACCGTTTCAAGAACTCAACATTTATGATGGTTGTTCATCTTGTGCCGCCAATTTAAATCTTGCAACAAAAAACGTGATTAGGGTTTAGTGGAATAATTAGAATTTCAAAACTCAGTGTACGTAGCAGCTATAATATGAGTGTTTTAATTTAAATTTCAAATTGAATGACCTTTGGTTTGGATGAGAGTTTTGAAAAGTGGTATGTAGCACATAATTAGGTGTGATTATAACGTGTAAATATAAACAAAATGACATAATTGTTGTTAGTTAGAAATAATTAAAAAAAAATAAAAAGTGGCAGAAAAAACCATAGTGTGACACATCAGCCATATTTATTGTCAAATCAATATGGTGCAAGTATTTCAGAAAGTTACAAATATACCCTTATATTAAGACTAAATTGAAATTTACTAATTAGGGTATTATGGTAAGTTAATGGTACTTTGATTTTTATATATTTATAATAGATAATAGATAATAGATTTGATGACAATCAAGAGTGATGAATTATTTGATTTGCTTTTAATATTAAATTAATTCAATTAAACTTTTGTTCTACGGTATCCTATAATATTACGTATTAATTTCAATGAAACATTTTTAATTTTAATATATTATATGAAACGTTCTATTTTATTAAATGAGTCTTAAATGTTAATAACAATTTTTATATATTTTTTAAAATATTAATAAATATTTATTTATCAATCTTCATAATCTTTCTTTTGCAAATAAAAAATTAATTATTTGAAATAATGTTTGAATCTCTATATTTAAAAAAATGTAATTGTCATGTTCAAATATAGTTTGTTGACAATCGATAATCGATAGTATTAATATAATTAAGTAATCATAAGTTTTAGAAAAGACATAGTAATTGATTTAGTTGAACAAATATGATTGATTTAGTAAAAAAAATGTAATTACTAATTATTTTTTTTCTTTTATTTTATATTTTTTTAATTTTTCATCAATATTGGCAGCGAGAGCAGCTTTCTCTGACTCCAACTCCCTAACACGGTCCGAGGAGCCAGACCCTTCCTCGGCAAGGACCACGGCCATCTCGGCCATCTTCACCATCCCGACCATGCTGGCGGCCAGGTGTTTCCTCCGGCTTTCTTTGTCAATACGTCTAATAGTCTCAGCCTCGTCATTGCTCACCGTCAGAGGAAACCCCTCGAAGAAATCTTTCTCTTTATAACAGGGGGCAAGACGAAGGCCCTTGCAATGGACTCGTCTCCAACCTCCGACCTATTTTCAGCCCGACTTCTCTTCCTGGGAATCAGCTCGGTGGGTTGCTCAGCATCAGGAGATCTCGATGACCCACTAGAGGCATCTCCGCCCGAACTGGCCGGCAGGCCCATCCTCGTGGCTTGCGGAGCTCGCACCAGCCTTTTGTTTATTTTCTTATCCTGGGTTAGTTTCAACAACCTCTCCCGTCGTTCAACCATGTCGCCTGCAAAAAGGAGCAAAACTCGGGTTAGTTGTAAGCGAGCAAAAAACAACGAAAATGGAATAAAATAATAAAAGCAGAAGCAAGAAACCTAGCAGATCTACGACCTTCCCGTAAGATTGGCACTCGACGAGCGCCTCCGTGTTAATGGGACGAGCCTCGAATGTCGGGTACCCCTCCTCGTCAAGAATATCATTCCCCTCCCCCCGTGACCCACCAGGAAGGGAAGAAGCTGTCAACGTACTTGCACAAGACAGCATAGGCCTCCTCGTCCTCGGCGCTCATGCTCCCCGTGGGTGTATGATAGTACTCGGTGCCATGGTCGTAATGGCCCGAGCACCAATGAATCAGGAACTTGGAAATACGCCCGACTGCTGGATGACCCTCGACATCCACGAGAGGCTCCCCGTCCGTGTCGACCACAGTGGTTTCCGATTCGAACAGGGAGTCCAAGGAAGTTTGGGTGACCGGCTGCAGAACGTACCATTTATCCTTAAAGTCCCTTACTGAATCCATATACATCCTGAACAGCCTCTTCGATTGTTTCAGGGACACCCAGCTGTGCTTGCTCCTCGAGACTGACGCTGCAGGTGAAAGACCCTGAAGAAAAGGGGAATCGTCGCCCCGATCCTCAGGAAACGGCACGTCAGCTCGAATGCCCGAGGGAAGGCGATCGAGTTAGGGTGAAGCTGCGAAGGGGCCAGATTCAAATGGCTGAACACCCCGACTTGAAAGTCGCTGAAGGGAAGTTTAAGACCGAGATCCTTGAACACGATCTCATACATAGGGAACCCGTACTCAGTAAACTCTGAGCATATACGCGCATCAATCGACGGCCTCATCACTACAAAATTCTTTTGAAAACCTGGCTGACTGTCGCCGTGCTCGATGACAGTATAAGCACGCCGACTTCGCCGACAGTACGCCGAGGCAATCCCTCGGGGCTTGGCACCCACCCAGTCTAACATGAGGTCATCAATGGTGTCGACTAAAGTGACATTCTCCTCGGTGCTTGTATCCTCGACTTCATTTTGCCTCAAAGATTCCGGTTCGTCGGCCATTTACCTACAAAGCACAGGAAACCAGTGAATCCGAGAGCAAATCCGCGTGCTCGCCACAGAGATAGGAAGTAGTACACAACAAGCCGAACACGGACACCCCAACTCCGACCACGCATTGGGGACAACGAGGGAGTAGCACAAACGCCCCGGGCGAAACATGAATCACTCGAGAAAGTTCCTAACTTCGCCTGCCCGACACTAGGACACCGCGAGAAGGCTACCCTACATACTTCCTAAAAAGGATGAACATCCCGGCCAGTTCATGGGCATGCCGACCAAACGCATGAATGTCACGAGCAGTATCATGAGTCATATTCCTAAAACTATGAATGTCACGGGCAGTACCATGAGTAACTATGAATGACACGGGCAGTATCATGAGTCATATGCCTAAAACAATGAGGGTCACGGGCATTTATGTACCTAAACTATGAGTTTACTAGGCACAATCATGAATCTACCGGGCACTACTCCTAGATATGGGTTTCTAACATAAAAAATAACATCAAAACCACCTACAATGAAGAAAAACAGGAGTAGCAGACACTTACTTGGAAGAAAAGAGTATGAGTGACGGCGGTGGAAGGAATCAACGACAAATGATACGGTAATTTCACAGCGTTGCAGCAAACGACGACAGTGGAATAAGGGAAAGAGGGAGGAGCGTGAAGAGGAAAAAAAAATTATGGGCCCAAGGGTCCTATTTATAAGGATGACATGGAATTTGAAACGTCGCACCGGGGAAACACGAACTTCCCCGTCCTCGACACCTACTCCCCTAGGCAATGATGGCCCTAGTCGCTAGGGTGGCGCTACAATTCCTAAGGACTGCGCCACGCACCCGACATGCGCGACCCGTGTATCCCCGCGAGAAACGCCGCGAGCACGCTTCGAAAAGGCAAAACCCTGATCCCTGTGGTAAAGGCGAGCTGAAGTCAAGTCATAACTCCTGCCCCAGGAGCAACGACTTGGGGGATCCTGTTCTGGACTGGGCCCGCCTTGGTCCAAAGCGCAGATAAAGGCCCAATCCAAGCAAACTCCTCGGAGAATGCTCACAAGACGAACCACCACCGACGTGCCCGACTACAGACTGTAGCCGCTATGCTCGCCATTTCCTGCGACACACAGTATCCCCGACCAAGGGAACTCTAGCTCGAGTCCAGCTCGAGCACCCTCCTCGTAGGGCAGATTCTGTCAACTCTGACCGTTATAGAATCCTCTAAGCTCCGGAAAGACCGCGTCTTCGTCCCTCCTTATTCTTCGCAGAGCACCACCAGGAAGGGGACCACGTGCGGGGCCCCACTACACACGTAGAACCTGGCAGTTCCTTTATTGGGTCAGCTCTGGTCAGCCCAATAAAGGGGACCTTGGCCCAGCGCTGGGGGCTATAAATACCCTATGTTCTAAGAGGGTCAGGTATTCATCTATTACGCACCTATACATTCTTTGCCTGCTCATTCCGTCTCTCATTTTAGCATCAGAGTGTCTTGCAGGTACCTTCTGTCCCACTCAAATTCAGTTCGAGCCAACCGTGACGGTCCAAGTCTGATCAGGTAAGATCACTAATAAAAAATGATAGCCTTGAAAACGAATGTATTCTGATTAGTTCGGTTTGATTTAATTAATATTTTTTTTTAATTTATTTTTATATTTTTTAATTTAATAATGATTGGGCTTTTTACCAATTCAAAATGAAAATTCTTATAAAAAGAAACAGAATTCAGTTATTTTTTTCAAATTGTCACACAATTAATAGGTTTTTTTAATGATTCTTTTTACTCATTTAATTCTTTTAAAAATTGGACAGTTTAAACCTATTTTAATATTCAAATTAAAGATTATCATGAATTTTTTTATTATTGGATTAAAGTATATAATTTTAGTATTATTTTTATTGAAATTGAATACTACACTTCGTTTTTATAGAAATTGAAGAATACGCTTAATACTTCATTTTTATAGAAACTGAAGACTATACACTTAATACAGTTTTTATAGAAATTGAAGATTACACTTAATACAGTTTTTTATAGAAATTGAATTCTACACTTAAATTTTTTTTTTAACATTTAAAGTGAAGTTCCATCACAGTTCATATAGGTCATCAATAATAAGTATAGCTTCATCAATAATAGGTGAATTGCTTATTGTAATAAGAGTAAAATAGTAAGTTAACAAAAAAAATAAATCTTTTGCTAGGGTTTGGGAGTCCTACTGGAACTGTGATCGGTAACATACCGCCGGCATGTATGGCAAAAAGCACGGCGGAAATAGATTTACAAGAACGAAGTACAAAAAAAGTGAAGGATGGGGTGAACAATATGATGGGGAAGAGTGTCACTTTCTGAGATATCATAGTTGGAAGGAATGGGGATTATATGGAGGAGAAGGAGGAACGGGAAGAGAATCAGGATGACAGTGAAAGTATAGAAGGTGAGTTTGGTGAAATCAGAGTGGAAGAAGAATTGATTGGGGGATATGAGTGCCCCAATTTTATTTTCTCTGAAGAAGAAGAAAAGAGGATCCAAAAACCATGGAGAAGAGATGTTATTGTCAAACTGCTCGGCAAAAGAATTGGATACAAAGTGTTGGAAAGTAGGTTGAATCAGATATGGGTTCATAAAGGGATCATTAGTATCATAGATCTTAGTAATGATTATTATCTTGTGGCTTTTTCACATGAGGATGATAAAAAAGCGGCGATGGAGAATGGTCCATGGTTTATCTACGATCACTATCTCACACTGAAGGATTGGAGGCCGAATTTTCAGCCGAAAATTGATACCATAGAAGAAGTAGCAGTGTGGGTTAGAATCTTGGGGTTGTCGATTGAATACTATGATCCTAGGGCATTATTTGTCTTTGGTGATCTCATAGATCATACGGTGAAAGTGGACAAAACCAGGATTAAACATGAAAGAGGAAAATTTGCTTGAATCTGTATAACGGTAAACCTGTTTAAATCGTTGCTAGCAATGCTAAAAATCCAAGGCAGTAGTTACAAGATTGAGTATGAAGGGTTGCATCTTCTTTGTCTCGCATGTGGACGTTATAGGAACTATAAAGAAAAATGTTCTTTATTAATCAAAGGGAAGAACAAAGTTGGGGATAATAGTACCAGTAGTGGGAGTCTGCAAAATGAGTTGGCAAAAGACAGAGGGGATAATCAAGGTGAGAGGGGCGTAGAAGATGGGCCGTGGAGAATAGTTCATAAGCAAATACGAGGGAGGAAGACGGTGGAAGGTCGGAGGAACACAGTGTCGGGTAGCTTTAATGATAAGATTATGAAAGGAGGATCTCGTTTTCTAATTTTGGAAGATGGTGATAAATGAATTTATGGTGAGGATTTGGTGGTTAATGACAATAATATGAATCATGTGAATATTGATTTGTCTGCTACGAGTGTGCCAAACATTCATAAAAAAGTAAATGCTATAAATGGCGAGACAACTGGAAAAAGTAATGTTGTGGTTGTGGGTAACGAAAATAGTAATCAACATGAGGATATAATTGGCTCGCTTACAAACATAGAAATTAATGGTGATAAATGTGGTCATGACAATAGGAGACAAAAGCTTAATATTAAAAGGAATAAAGCAACTCTAGCAACACGTGGGGGAATACAGCGAAAAGAGAAGGTAAGTGGCATTAGTCAATCAGGAATGGAGGGCATTTTTGGAAATCTAAATCCTGGTGATACTAAAGAGGCAGACATTTATGACAGTTACAATTTAATAAGGAGAAGAAAGGTGCTTTAGTGGGGAACAATTATGAAAAAGAAAAAAATAACGGAAAGACAAAAGAAGTTATTGCATTGGTCAAAAAACATGCAAAAGTTAATGGAGGTATTGAAGTTGATGAGCCACCTGATAGCAGTGAACAACCATGTAGTAAAGTTTTCTTTTATTATGGGAACTCTCAAAATACAGTATATGGTAACGAGATTAATGGTAAGGAAAATAATATAGTTTCCTTGGAGGATAATTCTTAAGTAGTTAGCGAGACTCCCATGGATAGCTGAGTTTTGTTCTTCTCCATTATGTTTCTTTATGATGTGTACAAATAAAAGTATAATGTTTTGGAACTGTATAGGAGCAGCTAGTAGAGCTTTTTATATATATTGCAAGCACTATATTGATAATTATAAGCCTATTGTGTTAGGAATTATTGAGACGAGATGTGACCCTTTGAAGATCAAGAAGGCTATTATGCATCTTGGTTTTGACTTGATGGAGTGTATTGAAAACCGAGGATTTGCATGAGGCATTATTGTAGCCTGGAAATCTAGCAAGATTAGTATTCATATATGTATGAAAGACACTCAGTTCATTCACTCTAAATTTTGTATGGAGCATGAGAATGACTGGTGGTTCACGGCAGTTTATGCGAGCCCTAATGAAAGGAGTAAGCACCTGTTATGGGAAGAGCTAAATAAAATTGTTGGGGGATGAGAGGTTCTTGGATGATTGTAGGAGATTTTAATGACATTTCCATGACTAGTGAGAAAAGGTGGTTTGCTGGCTTCTTCTCTTAAATGCAGGAAAATGCAAGATAGAATGGATGGTTGTAAGGTGGTGACATGGAATCTCGTGGTCCTATTTTTACTTGGAGAGGACCTATTTTTCATGGAGGCCAGAGAATTTATGAGAAGCTGGATCGAGCTTTGAGTAACGATGAGTGGATATTCCAATTTCCAGAAGCTTATGTGAAGGTGTTAATGCGAGTGGATTTTTCGCATCATCACCCTATTCTCATTAACCTTTATGAGGAAAACAATATTTTCCAAAAGCGTCATTTCCATTTTGAGAGTGCTTGGCTCATGAATGATACTTATAAGAGTATGCTCCAGGAAGCTTGGGAGGAGGATCATCCTTTATCTTTTAAGCATAATAATGTGGTTGCTGGTATCAAAAAGTGAAAGTTTGGATCATTTGACCAAATTAAAAGGTTAAAGAAGGTTGTAATGAGGAGGCTCGAAGGAGTTCAACACAAGCTTCAAGTGTGGGACAATTATGGGGCATGAGAAGGCCTGAAGTGCAATTACAAGAGGAGTTGAGTAGGATCTTAAATAAAGAAGAGGTTATGTGGTTCCAGCATTCTAGAACCATGTGGTTGTCGCATGGTGATAGAAATACCATGTATTACCATATGAAGACGCTTGCTAGAAGGAAGCGGAATAAAATTTTGATGCTTAAAGATGTGCTTGAAGGCTCATGTCACAAATTTTTACAAAACTTTATTTACTTTCCCTAATGGTTTGTGCAACTGGAAGCAGTCTCAGGTGAACTTTCCGAGGATTGATAGCGATAATTTGGAGTGTTTGAAACTTCATATTACTGCTGCTGAAGTCAGGAAAGCCCTCTTTTCCATGAAGCCTTGGAAATCCCCAGGGCCTGATGGTTTTCCCCCAGGGTTTTACCAAAATTCCTGAGATATTGTTGGTACAAATATGATTAAGTTTGTTGGAGAGTGGTGGAAGAGCCTTAATACTATGGCTGATATCAACAAAATGGACATTTGTCTTATTCCCAAAGTTGACCATCTTACTATGATTTCTCAGTTCCGCCCGATTTTGCTTTGCAACACAATCTACAAGGTGATCAAAAAGGTTATAGTTGGGAGACTTAAACCGATTATAAACATAACTTGCTTCTCCATTTCAAACTGGTTTCGTTCCTGGCAGATCGATTCATGAAAATATGATAATTGCAAAAGAAGTTATGCATACTTTGCAGAATAAGAAAGGGAAGAAAGGTTATTTTGATATTAAAATCGAACTTGCTAAAGCTTATGATAAACTAAATTGGGATTTTATTTGGAGGATTTTGGTGGAGATTGAGCTTCCTGAGGAGATTATCTATGTTATTATGCATGGAGTGACAAGTGAGGAAACCAATATTAATTGGAATGGTAGCAAAAATGAGTTTTTTAGACCGCAAGTGTGGAAACCAATATTAATTGGAATTGTAGTTTTGGCCTCCATAAATCTATTGTGCAGAAAGAACCTATGAAGAAAAATTTCCTCAAGCGCATTCCAATCTGTCATAGTATGAGTTGGTTGATCAAGACACCACTTTTTTGTCTTGCCAATCAACGAATGAGGAAACAATCTCATGAAAACTTGTTCTTATTATGCTTCGGGTGCTCCAAGTGTACCGACAATTTCATAGAACTTGGTAAGGTGAGTATATGGATCTTCATGGTCAAACCAAGCAAAAGGATTTGAAGAAAACTGATCTTCATCTTGGGGTTTCTTGCATTATGTGCACGTCTGACAATACGAGCATTTCCTTTTGGTCTGATGAGATAAAGACCTCTAATAACCAATGGTTCATCCATAACTTCTTCGATAATAGGAATTATTGAAGAAGTAGAAGTAGAAGTTCCTTTCTGTTGGTTCCTTTGTTTGGCTAGCTGCTTTCACATCAAGTTGCCTAAAACATCAAGTTGGCTTTGTTTGCTTAAGTGTGAAGAAAAGTATCATAACATAACACAACTTCTCTCTCAGCATTAGAACACAGAAGAAAACATTGTAGACACCTTCTAATCATCCAACCCAAGCTAGAACACGAGCCCTTGGCCTCCCAAACAATCCCATTCCCAGAATCACTCTCAAACTGCATAAACAGGGCAAGGCCTGCAGATTGAACACCATCTCTCATTCCTTGCATGATTTCTTGACCAAAGCTTATCAAACACATTCCCTAGCATCAATGCAAGCTAACCAAGACCTGAAACACGACCTGTAGTTCCTCTAACAAGTTCCACCATTTTCACTTTCTCATTTTGCAGTTGAAGGTCCACATCTCGATTCAAGGTGTCTCAAGGCAAAGTAAACATTGGAACAGCATCACCACACCTCAAGGAAGCTATACCAACCATCACCTTGCACTGAAAGCTTCCCCATTGCCAGATAGAACTTCAACTGAACAGGTATTTTGGTGAACTTCTAACTCTTAGTATAGGCATCATTAACTCTAGGTTTGTGAATAAGAAGTGTTCTACTCATGCCCCTGAACCTGTACATGCTTTTACTTTTCATTTATTTTGCCTGAGCTATGAGAATTTAAGGTTTGAAAATGGCAGAAAACTTAGGTCAGGATTTGGGAATGTCAAAATTCTCTCTCATTTCTGAGAGTTAGAATGATTTTTTTATATATTCGGAATCGTGATTCAATGCTTAACATTTCTTATGTTGGAAGTTTGTGCAAAAGATCAAGGAATCCATGCGTTTGAATTGGAAGAACAGGCGCGTGTTTTGACATATTTTTTGTCTGAAGGTTGAAGAAGAAGTTCCTGGGCTGGGCTTGCTTATGATTTTCTTTCCACACCACATTTTTTGTTTCATACCCCCTAGGCCCATTTGGTTTATTTCAATGATTTTTTGATTTTTCTTTTTTTATGCTGACTTATTTATTTTTGCTTATAATATAAAAAAATATAAAAAAATATTTTTATACCATTTTCCTATTTTCTTTAGCATTTATTTGTTTATAGGAATCATTTATACATAAATATATATATATAGAGTATTTAGAATAAATAGAAAAAATAATACAAATATACTTTCTTTTCTGATTTTATTGCATTTTCCCTTTTGAAAATATTTTATACAAAATATACTTTTTATATAAATATTAAATATTATTATTTTTATATATATAGTATTTATTTCATAAATAATAAATATATATATATATATATATATATATATATATATATATATATATATATATATATATATATATATATATATATATATATATATATATATATATATATATATATATATATATATATATATATATATATATATATATATATATATATATATATATATATATATATATATATATATATATATATATATATATATATATATATCATTTTTATTTTTTTTAATATTTGATGTGGAAAATACTTTCTTTATGAATATACTCCATTTTATTTTATTTCTATATAATTATTAAATATTATACATATTAAATAGTTAATATATTTACTTAATAAAAATTAGGGTTTCACCCTTAAAATACAAAAACTCCAAAAAATAATATCTTTTTACTTTTATTTATTTAATATAAATAATACTTTTTCACATATAAAAACCTTCCTTTTGCATTTTGCATCTTGATTCTATTTTTCCATTTGATTTATGCCTTTAATTATATTGTAAATATTCAAAGAAAATGACGTAATAGCTAGGTTTAATTTCTTGTCTAAATATCCCCCATTTGAAACATTTGTACCCCCCTTCCCATATTGTGTTGTAATAGTGTAGGAATTTTACTTTTCGCACTTTAAACGCTTTCTAAATATACCATGCTAGAATTAGGGTTTGTATGCAAATAAAAAGAACAAAATAGCTAGACCTAATTTCAAGATAAATGAGCATGAAAATGGACAACACATCTCACACTTGCACCCCTAGGGTATTCCACTTTGTTGCCTTCAAATATTTGGGCCATATTGCATGTTAGGTTTCTTTGGGTAAAACAAACAATCAAATGATCATAGTCCCTCGATGACGCTTTCGAAAAGTTGCCTAAAAATGATCAAGTCCCTTTCAAAGAAAAATTGCCCAAAGACACTTAGCACTATTGCAATTATGGTCTAAACGATGACCCGCGCCCGTCCCTTTCACCTCCTAATACAAGATTGTCCACCAAATGCAATGGTGGAACAAAATTGTTAAAAGGGTTAAAAACATAAACAAAAATCTTTGAGAACTTTAGGGTAGATAACTCTTAAGTACTTG